ACATCTTTAAAACAATGAGAGCTATTAATGTTATAAAATACTGGTTAAAAGTTGTTCAGTTAAGTAGTAAAAAATATGTCAAAGTTGTATATGATCTTATGTGTAGAGATTTAGAACTTAAACCGAATTCAATGTTCTGGGCTAAGTCTGTTATGATTTTGTTACAATCTTTAGGTTTCAATGAAGTATGGATTAATCAGGGCGTTGGTGATATAAATTTATTTTTAGCAGTAGTAAAATAAAGATTAACAGATACATTTATACAAAATTGGTATGCAACTTTAAGAGATTCATCAAGGGCAAGAAGTTATGTATTATTTTGTGATTTTGGTTTTAAGTCATATCTGTCAATGGTTAATATTGAAAAATTTAGGAAATCTTTATCACGTTTCAGGACTTCTTCGCATAGATTAAAAGTAGAAACTGGTAGATGGCATAAACCTGAAGCAATTCCTTATAATGAAAGAAAATGTAATATTTGCTTAAAACTAGAAGATGAATTTCATGTATTATTAGAATGTCGGATTGTCCACAATACAATATTTGAGAAAACAGCTCATAGATAAATATTATTGGAAAAAACCAAATATACCAAAATTTATTGAATTGTTAACATCTCAAAATGAAAATGTTATAAGAAAATTATCAATGTTTATCTTTAAAATGTTTGAATTAAGAACAAATGTTGAATATTCGTAAATTATAGTACCTAGGAAGGTAAATGTAATGTTACTTCATTGATATCATTATGCAAAACCTGTGCTTCATTTAAACCTTGCTGTAATATGTTATTCTGTTCATATTAAAGCAAACTTATGACTCAAATATACAGTAAATGTTAAATATATGTTATATATGTTTAATGACCTTGATATTATGTTTCTGTATGTATGTATGTTTGTATATATGCTGTGTGCTCATGGGTATAATACCCACATGTATTTGGAATAAAATCTTGAATCTTGTAATTAACAGTTTTCCCATGAAGAAATTACATGTATTAATATTAGCTTTTATGTAACCTGGGTCTTTTCGACCCTTTTACAAACTTGAAATTCACGGTGTCTCCTGTCATCTTAGAATGACTTCTAACACAGAAGTGGTGTGGATTTTGTCAGTTTCTAAAGTTTTTACTTCACAAAGACACATTGTTGAACATATCAGGTATCTTTGTTGACACAATCATGAAGCTATTGGAGTAGAAACATGACACAATTTTGAATATTTATAAAGACAATTTAATGCATTATCATTGCTTCCTTTTTGGAAATTTCTCGGTCTATGGAAGGAGACATTTCTCCCACACCCATCTGATTATAGAAAGGTACAACTAGATGCCTATATATTACGAAACATGTAAAGCGCCTGTTTGAATGCAATATTGCTATTTCTTTAATATTTTCATTTTGTTTCTAGTGGTTCTGTTATTCAGTTGCATGCAAAGTAATAAAACTTTGTTTCAAACTAATTGACAATTCATAAACGATGGCTCAAATGATTCTTGTCAGATATAGAATTGCACTTTTCCCCCGGGGAATGGACATTGGACCCCTTTATCTACAATGCGTATCCTTAAAATGTGTCCAGGTATGTCCCTGACTCGTGACATGAAGTCCCAATGTGCGTAAGTGTGACTATCTGACTATCTGTTTGAACTGACGTATCAAATCTTAAAAGGGCCTATACTACTTAAGCTCTAATAAACTTTGAGAACGGTGTAGTTACGGTGTAGTTACGCCCTTATAAAATTGTCCTTTTTAACTCGATGCACTTACGCCCTTCCAATCATTCTTCGATATCGAAGCCAACTTAAATGCTAGGGTAAAGATATCTAGTCAGCAGGTGCGCGATGACGCTCTGCTTCGAATGGCGTATAAACTTTTTAAAAAGCTAGTAGCGACTCGCTTCGTAATTTTTTTCCAGGGGTGTGTTTAAATGTAAAAATGACAGTTCTGTTAGCTGAAGAGACTTCAGCGAACATCAAAATAAAAGTGACATATAAAGTTATGGAAGCAAGTTTAACAAAGAGGAATATGAGTATATATGAAGATGCATGTAAACAGAGTAAATACATACACTAAATACTGGTGGGGGTAAATCCCGGGATCATCTATAGAAAAGCCGGGATCCGGGATCGTATTAAACATATAGTAATCCCGGGAATTGACCACCTGTTCTCGGTGTCATCGACACAAAAATCAGACTTGTAATGTTCAAATAATTTTACTCTTATCAATATTTGAGTATATTGTACCTTAAAAAATATTAAAACAAACGTTTCAATAGGACAGATTATCATTTTCCCTATGAAATCATTACGATACGTGTACAATATTTTAAACAGAATATCTTTGATCTAACACATCACATTCAGAAAAGCCAGGATGGTATTAGATATATAGCGATCCCGGGAATTAACCACTGCCATGTCATATTCAGAAAAACCGGGATCGTATTAACCCATTACGCGATATACACGCCTTTTAACGCCTTTTTCACCCCCTTTTTTTGTTGTCTCAAATGGTGAAAAAATGCCTAATTTAGGCCCCCAACACTTGTTTTTGGTTGAAAAATGTTGTTAAAAAAAAGTGACCACTTTTTCGGCGCGGCCCCAACCAAAATATACATCAGGGGGTTGCCAGAAGGGGGATGTGCCCCCTTCTGTTTGGGGGGTTTGAAGGGGGCGGCAGTCCCCCTGATCGCCAAGAAAATTTTGGACTTGTGACAGGCTAAAAATGACCCCAGATCGATCATAAGGTAACGTGTAACCAACGCTGAAAAGCATTTGACTCTATCTCAATCCATTAAGAAATTGCAGCACTTTGAAATCAATTTTGATGGAAAAAATCTTTTTTGTTATCAATTATGTTAAGTATATCTTATGATCTTATCTAAAAAAATATATAAATAAATGAACATAAAATTTAGCCAAATATTATATTAACAAAAACTTTGATTTTTTTCAATTAGGCATGTAATTACAAGTATTGCGATTTCCGCATTTTTAAGTTTGTTAATAAATAGCTCTAAATATATTTAAATCTAAAGTTAAATTAATTTACCATTCATTACATACAATACAAAATAAAAAGTTATCGTTTAATCGCCTTTCATTACGACAATAATCAACACAAATATAGTGTATTCCTTTTCCCTATATATCTAATACTATCCCGGATCCCGGGATTTTCCCCCCACCCTAAATACCGGAAAGAATAAAATGACCTTTTAAAAGGAAAGGCTTGCACAGTTGTGCCTTCATCCCAACCCTTTAAAAAAAATTTTTTTTTTTGTTTCAATTTATTATCACAATTTTTTTGAATTACGGTATTTGTATATCATAAAGGGTTTATTTAGTTGTTTTTTTTTTTTTTGGAAAAACGAATATTTTTTGTCAAAACGATTTGAAATCTATTCTCTATTGTATAAAACTAATAAAGAAAATGATCAATCGTAAAAATACCAACGTGGAGATCTATCTATCATACTGAAGGGAAACAAGTGTGCATATTTCATTTCCCCTTTTTCGCAGAGAAATCATTCGTTTGCTTTATAGACAAGTAAATGCACTAAAATACTTCGTTACGTGGTACCAATTAATAAGCATGTATCAACTATGTTACACGATCACAAATACGATGCGCTATCTGTAGATCAGCACGTGGCAAGGTTAATGATATGCATGGGCTATTTTTAGATTACCTCACCAAGAAGTTGAATTGCGTTCAGTAGATCTGAATATAACTCGATCATGCGTGATTTGGTAAGCAGGACCACCCTTTGAAGACGGAATACTACTACAATCACCATTCTCTATTGTATAAAACTAATACAGACAAAAAACAATTATGAAAGAAACCAACTTTTGCGTCTTGAAAAACAATTGAAACGGAACAATTTCGTTTATAATTTATTACGGTTTAAACCGATAAATCAAGTAAAAATAGAAATCCTATTTATATAAACAAACTGGGATTACCGAAGTAACTAAAATAGCTTAGATTTCCGTAATATTACTTCGTCCGATTCCTCAGTATGACGGAATCGCTCGAATTGTCACGATTGCAATCGGAACTACATCGGCTATTATCATTAATCCGAAGAGTGACGGAAAAGGCCGAAAAGTTGCGATTGGCACGATTGCAGCTGGTTTCCCGTTCAATCATGCACTAACAATTGGAAACAGGAAACCACCTTACCGGAACAAGTTATTCAAAACAAATGGCTTGCAGCCGTGGCTGCAAGCCAAAAATGCACATACCCAGATGTACACTTATGTTAATTAACCAATCAAAAACTTACTACAGAGAAAACAGGTGAAATCGCTAAATCAAAAGTCAGTGTAAATATGATTTATTGAAAAGAATTAATGAAAACAAACATTTTAATCATCATTATATCTTTGCGCTCAAAGCAATACTTGCTTCTTTTTAAAAATGGCGTGAAAATTGAAGGTTTTTTGACGCTATGTAAGATTAAATTTGATTGGCTAAATAATTTTGGATTCTAGCCCTGACAGATAAATTTTGTAGAAAGCTTGAAGCCAAGCTTCGATTAAAATTTTGGATGGATTCGGAGTTTTAGGCTGTTTCTCAGTAAAATCCTAACGTAATACCGGCTCGCCGTGGCGAGCCGGCAAAAAAGGGCCAAGTACCATTTACGCCCTTATAGCACTAGACCGTCGACTATTTAATTTATTTATTTGTAGGCGCTGCAAAGATATGGACATTTGAATTCTGATAAACGTGACGGTTTTTAATCATGTAATAAGCTTTTCTTTTTTCCATTAAACTTAATTTATTTTTTAATGACCGGACACACAATGCACGTGTAAAGCGGAAAATGCGCCGCAATCTGGATCCCGTTCCCGTTTTTCCCCAAAGATGCATATCTTCACGGAATTTATTAATTTACACATTAATTAAATGTAAATTAAAAGTCCGTGAAACAAGGTCTTTCTATTTGAAAGACCCTGCTTAAAATTAAAAATAATAGCAATCTGAAATTTTCTTTCTTTATTGTATTTTTATATAATAATATATGTTCAGACTGTATGCATTTAGGTAGATTAAACTAAATTCAGAATTTACGTGAATGTCTTGTACAAAATTTAAGTCGGAAAACTTTGCACATAGACCGAAGCTGGATGTGGACATACAGTTCACGTTAAATTAGGAATGCAGATTTCTCTGTGCAGCTTAGAAACGCTAGAATTCCTATAGCTTGAAGCATTGTGGACTTCTCTTTGGCCATTTAATTGTCCCAAAGAACTTCACCTTGACCTTCAGCTGGACACACAGTTGCTTCCTAGCGATGTCAATACCGGAAATCTGGATGGGGAAAAACAACAGTTACGATTATAAATATCAAAGTACATTTTTTTGTAAAACAATGTCGGTGTGTTCTCCTTCCGAGTTTTTCTAAAACGTCTTTTAGATTTTATAGGTTTATTTTTCAAACATAAATCATGTGTTTTCTGTACCAGAAAATGAATATTTTTAATTATTAAATTTTTGAAAGTTGTATTTTTTTAAAAATTTCGTATATGTTGATCTATCACTTATTCAATGGCGTAAACGTAATAAAACGATTCGAAAGTATAAAGAAAATGATATGTTTCCATTGTATAATTATCGAGAAAGATTTTGGTGTCAATTCTTGTTTGTACCCTTATTTCTAGATCGCTTTTCATCAGTTTTCTCATGGATTTGGGGAGTTTGCTTTTCTTCATTCTCAAGGTGAAGCTGCCATTGCCTGAAAAACAAATCCATTTATGACTTATTGCCCCTATCTGTGAAACAAATACAATTACAGTACACAAATTAAGATAAAAGAAATATGAACAAATAGATAAACAAGAGCGATCAGTGATCACATATGTGTCGCCTCATGATGGCCAATTTCATGTTGGGACAAGTTTTGTGCCAGACGGAGAAGTGATCGGGGTAGTGGCGACATAAATTCATGTAAAGTTAGGATGAAATTGCCCCAGTAGTTTATGAGGAGTAGTGGAGACAAGTTTTGTGACAGACGGACAGACAGTGCACAACTAGACTTGGTACTGATCATTCCTGTAAAGTTTGGATGAAATTGCACCAGTCGTTTATGAGGAGTAGTCCGGACAAGTTTTGTGACGGACGGACAGACAGACGGACAGACAGACGACGGAGAAGTGATCCGTATATGTCGTCACTACTCCGTAGAGGCGACACAAAAATGTAAAACAAATATGCAGGAAAAAAATAAGAAAATCCGGATATGTTTCCTCTTTCAACAAAACTTTTATCTCCTATTAGTAAATAAAACTCACTTTCGATAGCATATATATGAAATGCTTTTCCAAAGAATCATTTGTCCCGGAACACAACACGTGTACATTTTTCAACAATAACAAAACCCCCATTTCATAAAATGTGGACAATAAAATGAAATTCACTTACTTTTAATAACATGGGAAATACTTTTGCCATAAGCTTTGAAGCTCAGTTTGATGCCTTCGGAGGTGATTTCCGCGACAAAGCATGCTGTAAAAATATTAACATTTCAGAAATAAACAGTTTAGATAATCTAATATTGTTTTTCAAAATATATATATTAAGTACAATTCATTTAGAATATTCAACTCCTTTATGAAAAGTACAACTGACTTAGAATATAGATCTATATTTTATATTTTACTAATGAAAATACATGTACTGGGATCCTACATATTTACCGGACAATCAGTTTACCGGACAAAAGCTATTCCTGCCTTTTTGCGTCGATTCAAAAACCATACAGTCTGAATAGTACACACACTTTCTATTTCAAAGTAAATAAAATCAAAACCACTCTGCAGGTAAATATTGTTGATTCAGTTCTTTATCTACTCAGCATGTCCTTTTGTTTACTAGTTATTTCATGACCTGGTCGTGCGGGGGAATAATCTGTTCTGCGAGACCCGAATATGGAAGCCCTTAATAGGTTATTTTAGATAGTTTTACTTTTAATTCTTCTCAACGTTACATCTAGAGACAATCGTAACATATTTTAATGATAAAAAGTAATTTTAAATTTAGTCCAAACATTATCTCGTTGTTTTCTTTTACAAAGAAATGCAAATTAAAAAACATATATACTAAGGAAACGGGTAACACCCATGGGAGGAAACTCTTCATGAAATGTAAATAAAATAGATCTTATTTCTTTCGTAACATGCTACATGATGACCAAAATTAAACTGTATGACAAAGAACAGTATCAAAATGCTTCATACGTTTAAGGATCATGAAGAACCAATACGTTAATTGAGTTAATAGTGTAAATTTCAATTACACCCTATATATTGGCCTCTTCATAACAGGCATGGCTGCCGTGTCTATTTCTAGTGACATACTGGGTTTTTCAAATATCCTAACCTTGCCATTCAATAGTCGTAGTTTCCTTGCTGATTATTTAAAGATTAATTTGTATTCACGACTTTAAAGTTTTTTTGAAACACAATGTCCGGTAAATTGAGTTGTCTACACGATTTTTTTCCTCTATAAAGACACAGTTCTACGGCCAAATGTTTAATTTCATGTTTGATAAAGGAATGTTTACGTGCATTAAGAACCCAAAATTATTTCGGTAAAAATCCATTCTTTTTTATTATTTTAAAAAAAAGTGACTGATAAAAACTTCATATTTTGTCCGGTAATATGTAGGATCCCAGTATACTGTAGAAATTCTATAATACAAATATTGATAATTTGAGAAATTTTGTTGTGGCGTACCTTTCAATTTCCACATTTTCATACACGTCTCACATTTGCCATTATGGCATCCGGTAAGTTCATTTCCAACAAATACATCATCTTCAGCTAAACTATCGGAAGAATCCTCCACGAGCTGGTCGTCGAAATACGGAAAGACGTTAACGTCATCTCTGTTTTCGACGTCAAACGAAACGTCATCGTCTTCTGCATCGTATATGACGTCATCTAGTGGATTGTCGTCTCCAATGCTGTCTGAAAGAAAATTATTTTAAAAAAAATAGTGAAACTGGTTGAGAGTAAGCATTTTTATATGAATATGTGTGAATTACCATTAAGGCCTTTCCATTCTTTAGTTTACATCGTTTTACATTTCCTGAGGTTACAATAGCCTACTTTTTTCATTTTCCTTGTTTCATATTAAATTGATACTTACTAATTCTGACAGTGTGTAAATCATTAATGTAAAACGTTAACTTTTTAAAACAAAGGCAGAAAAAAACATATTCTGTAAAATACGTAAAAAATCCGATGTTCACTTATATGGCCAGTTAAAAGAAATGAACATTTCATTTATAATGATGAACAGTTAGAAATTGTTGATGATTTCAATTATTTGGGAATAACGTTGAATTACACTGGTACTTTCGCTTTAAATATAAAATGTCTAAAAGGCAAAGCACTTAGGGCGATGCACACATTGTTAAATAATATCAAAAGATATAACATTCGTCCGGATATTTCATTGCAACTTTTTGATGCATTTGTAGGATCGATATTAAATTATGGTTGTCCTATTTGGGGGTTTACTAAGTCTTGTGAATTAGAACGTATTCATCTACAGTTTTGCAAAACAATCCTTGGTGTAAAACAATCGACAAGTAACGCAGCTATATATGCAGAATTGGGTCGCTATCCTTTATATGTATTTCGTTTTGTACATATTATTAAATACTGGGTCAAGTTTATGCACATTCATTGGCGCAGTATTATAATGGTAGAAAGAATTGGGTTTTCCATGTTTTCCACTGCTTGATGATTATGGTTTTAGCTCTGTTTTTGTAAATCATGAAAACATAAATTTCAAATTATTTGTAAATTTGTTCAAGAAAACAGTAACGGATTGTGCCTTACAGAAACTATTTGGAGATATTGAGAAAAATGAAATACTGAAATCCTTGTACATACATTTAAAACCGAGCTTTGGTATATCGGATTACTTGATTAAAATAAATTCGTTTAAAATACGTAATAGCATAACTAGATTGCGCGTGTCGTCGCATAATTTATTTATAGAATATCTTAGACATGGGCGTAATCGAAAACCAAGAAATGAAAGATTATGTTATTTCTGCGGTAATGACATAGAAGATGAATTTCATTTTATAATCACATGCAAAAAATATTCTGACCTGAGAAACAAATTCATACCAAAATATTATGTGAAAAATCCGAGCATGTACAAATTTATTGATTTATTAAGTTCTAAAAAGAAACAAGTCTTGTTAAATTTGGGAAATTTTATAGCACAAGCATTTAAACGCAGGGAATTAAATCAACCGAATCTTCAGACATAATTATAAAAATGTTATCTTGTTAGTAATATTACTTTATTTCTTTTCATTCTCCATGTTTTGTTAATGCAGTCCAAAGATGTAGTTTTATCATTGTATGACACTTTGCTACTAAATAATGTTAACTTTGATGATTACGTGATGTTTAATTATATTTGAATGTATGTATTTTGTGACCATGTGCATTTTGTACACGTCTTATATGAATAAACTATCTATCTATCTTATAAATTATATTGTTCGAGAGAGTACTCGTATATATGAGGAAATCTACAAACCTCTGTCTGCGAAAATGAGTCTTCCATTCCCGGCAATAATAACAGCAGCAAAGACAAATAGCGGTAAGAATGACTTCATCTTGGACCCTAAACACATAAAGTGTCAGAAAAAATATAACATAGATAATAAACATTTATTTTTATACACCTATAATTTTATATGACTTTTTAACTGAAAATATACATACACGATATGTGCATTATAATATTTTTTTTCCGTACTCAACACCTTGATTGCTTGCGCATTGACGTCATATGAATGTTCATTGTACTCATACGTCGTTTCTCAAGAATAATGTTCATCCCTCAGTTGTGTCCGAATTTTGTTTATGGATTATACATTTAATGTTATACAATTATTGACTAGTAAGCCATTGAATATGATGTGAAATTCGGTTATCGCCTCGGTCAAAAATGAATATCACATCATATTCAATGGCTCACAAGTTAAAAATTGTATAATATTCAACATTTATAGATAATATAATAATGTAAAGAATACAGATATTTAAATGAAAATGAGTGTGCTATGAATTTGGTGGATTCCTTCACACTCGTTAATGGTCGTGCGTAGTAAAAACAACTTTGCACAACCATGCATGCAGCCATAGCGATACAACAAAACGGAATACCAACAAAACGGAATACCTTGCGCATGCGTTATTTCCAAATAAATCTATGTTTATTAATGCGAAGTTTTGGTTAATTTCATGCAATGTACAAGCATACCTTTGCCTTGCTTAATCTATTAAGAATAAATATCATTTATTATTATTATTATTATTATTATTATTATCATTATAGCAGAAATAAATGAAAATACATAAATAAAACATATATACATACCTTTAGAAGCGATTATAAGCTGACTTTTAGGCTGCTAATTAATGTGTATTTATAGTAAAACGGGGAACATACCTAACCAGGATCTCACATGTTGTTGTTTGTAGCAGGGACATAGATAACATTTTATCTACATCTCAGTTTGAAGCCTTGTCTTCATTGCCTTTTCCGTTTCTATTAAATGAGTACGTCAAACAAAACTCTTATCTGATTTCAAATGTCCATTTTAATGGACATCCTATTTAAGTACATCTAGTGGACGTCTACAATGGTATCGCTAGGTTAACATTTTGTTTGCTGCTGTTGTTGGTTTTTTTCTTCAATTTCCAGAAAAAATGGACTAAGCGGCGTGGGCGGCAAAGGCTGAATAAATCTCAAGTTAAATCAGGAACCAACAAAGGTCAACAGAGAGATGTAACAAACACAGTCATAAACGCATGTAAAAATGGCATTTCCGATAAGCAAGTGATAAATCATGGATACAAGAGAAAAAATAACAAAGAAAGAAAAGTCAGTTGTCGTAGATCCCAGTGGAATAATCAACTGTTTTCTTTATAGAAACTTTATCATTCGTTCGCACGAATTTTATCTTTCGAGTAAAACTATTCAGAACATGCAGAGGGATAGATGCACATGGCCGGATTATGCGTGCAGGAGTGCATTACGTTTCAGTGTTGTCGTTTTCTTTTCTTATTTATGTACATTTACTATGTATTTATGTGGCTTGTGGAAAGCCATTCATAATCTATAATCGATAACAGTTCATTTATCTTTTCTAGATAAAAATCATAGAAAACACTTGGTATTTTCCGCACTTAGATATAAATTAAGTGGTCTCAATTTTATCTGTGATGACTATAAATCTTATCAAACATCATTTTACTTATCTTACCGCTTTTCACATTTGCGCTTTTCCTTTGACGATATATAAAGTTCAAGTTACCGATGTTTATCAGATACATTTATCTGTTTTTGGTTATTGAACTTTTTGGAGTTAAATAAACTTCTTGCTTGATACAAGATTCAAATTTATAACACCAAACATTTTTTTTCTAAAATCATATTTGTAAGTTTCGCACCGTCTTTTTTTCTTAATTATTGATTGTTTCTATAGGATTTGTTTTGTTTTGTTCTACGGCGCACCGACCTTATCTAGATCATATGGCCCCGAAATAGGAAATATTGGTTTGGTTAACCTCGGATGTTACAAACTTAAAGCAACACCATGGGCAGAACCACCTCAGCTGCTGGAGCTAAAAGATGGATAGACTCCAATAATTTGACCCATTTATTCGCCTCTTAGCAGGGATAAACGAAACCTTTCAGCAACTAGGGTTTTCTTTCTTAAGAAAATGATAGATTGTTATAAATAATAACTGTTACTGTTAAAGGGAATGATAAACTGTTAAAGGGAATGATTTACTTTTATAGGATATAATAAATTGTTAAAGGGAATGGTAAACTTTCATAGGTAGTGAATAACTTTTATAGGGAATGATAAACTGTTAAAGGCAATGATAAACTTTCATAGGGAGTGAATAACTTTTATAGGGAATGATTAACTATTAGGGAATTATAAAACTTTCATAGGGAGTGAATAACTTTTATTGGGAATGATTTAACTTTTACAGGAAATGATAAACTGTTATAAATGATAAACTGTTACTGTCATAGGGAATTATAAACTGTTAAAGGGAATAATTAACTTTAATAATAGGGAGTAAATAACTTTTATAGGAAATGATAAACTGTTAAAGGCAATTGTAAACTTTATATGGACTGATGAACTGTAAAAAGGAATGATAGATTTTATCTTATGCTTTTATCAGCACATCATAGATACACATAAATTTATGCTGCGATATATGTTGTAATTCATAAAACACAAACAGCAGAAGTTATCAAAATATATAAAGTTTATTCAATAAGTTTCATGATTACTATACAATAAAATATCATGAAGAAACAATGAAAAAAGTGAATCTTTGTATACAGTAGGTCAATATACAAATGTATGAACAATGAATTAACCATATCAAAATAATAGCACAACTTTTTGCAATCATTCTTAATTTCTTACCACTTTTCCATATACTGTTCAAAAGTGTTATATTAAAGACCTGTTATGCCTCAGAAATGTCTCATTTTTATTTCTGAAAAGCTTTTTATGTTTTGTGTCTATAGTTTCAAGAAAGTTACTCATTGGTCAGTTTACTGAATCATCTTTTGCTTCTGTTGCTTTTTGGAAAGTATTAAACTTATAGTGGTTTAGTATTTTGTATCAAAGTCAAAATACTACTTTGTTTACATTTTGTTACTTTATGACAAAAATTATTTTACATTTTATGATTCAGCTCTATTTCTTCAAGTTGAAAGCATCTAACATGACTTTAAACCATTATATATATGTTATAAAGTTCCTGTTTGCTCTTTCTAAAAATTTATTCCATACTGAGGCATAAAGAAAAAAAGACATTTTCCTTATTCAATATCCATACTGACAAAAGTTCTACAGAAACAGAAAGTAAAGAATAGGACCTATTATAAAGTATATGTCGCTTCTAACATTCAACCTTTACAATTAGCTGCCAAGTCAATTCCACTTTAACTTCCTGCTTGTAATAAGACACATTCACAATAACAATAAGAAACAATTAAGACACATACGTCCAACTTCTTTGTAAAGAAGAAAAAAACACTTCTATGAACAGGGAGCTGTCCATAAGACTGAGCACGCTCGACTATTCTCAGTGCTTGATAATAAGAAAAGGGGCATAAATCTGTAAAATGTAACTCAGAGTTGCAATACCTGTGCCCATCATGTTGAATTGTTTGTTTGTTTGATTGGGTTTTACGTCACACCGACACAGTATAGGTCATTTGGCAACGTTCCAGCTTTACTGGTGGAAGAAGACCTTCTGCGCATTATTTCAGACACGAACGGGCACCTGAGAAGAACCACCGCAATCCGTAAGCTAGCTGGATAGCTTCCTCACATGAAAGATGTCCCTGTCAAGATTCGAACCCACAGTGGCGAGGGGCAAATGGTTTGAAGTTAACGACCTTAACCACTAGGCCACAGACGCCCCTCATGTTGAATAACTACATTGAAAAAGTTTGTGAAGTCTCAACCAATTTCTTCAGTAGTTTTAGAGACACCACATTGCATGTAAATATTTTGTCGTCAGTGTTATGATGACAGTGCCACTTAAATGCTAGTGCCACTTCAATGCTAAGGGGAAACTGTCACAAAACATTCTGATCAACTTTCTTCAGTGCCTGATAGTAAAACATGAGCCATGTAATTATGTTCTTGGTTTACAATTGGCAATAATTCATCAAAACTCATGCTAATGTTACAGGTATTGGCTAGTGACCTGCAGCTATTGCACTTTTTAAATGAATATCTTTTGTGGCTGTTGAAAAATAATTTTTAGGATATTAAAGGGATTTAACTCAGTTACAATGCACACACCACAAAAATAGACTATAATTCTTTCAAAAGTCAAGCTAGAAAAAATAAAAATTTATCAAATTAATAAAATTTCTTTGAGAATCAGTGTGAACAGCTAGATCTCTGATGATTACCGGTATGTGAATGATCATACACCTGATTGCAAAATAAATTCACAGCATCACATTCTTGAACATTATTTATAGATACATCAGCATCTAACCCTGTACCTGCCTTTTGAATAGAGCTGATTTCCAAAATCTCTCACGTCTTTTTATATGTCCCATCATATCATGACTCTGACTTTTAAACATCATTACATCAATAGTAGAATTCAATTTCCAAGCTCAGGCTTGTGTTTTTTTCCTTGCAATTGAGCCAATGTTTTATCACTTTGCATTTTATCAAATGTTAAGTCACTTTGTATTTCTGCAAAATTTATCATCACCCTAACATTTGCCTTTCACTGAGCCAAGTTTATCACTTTGTGTTTAATCAAACTTTAAGACATTCTAAATTTTCTGCAAAATTTATCATCACCCTAACATTTGCCTTTCACTGAGCCAAGTTTATCACTTTGTGTTTAATCAAACTTTTAAGACATTCTAAATTTCTGCAAAATTTATCATAACCCCTAACATTTGCTTCACTTCACCCTCCTCAGCTTGCAGATCATCACTGGCATATTTTTTGAAGTAATTCCAATCTTTTTTCGTTCCAGTAAAGCTTCTTCTATCTGAATCAGAAAAAGGAATATAATAATTATGAGGTACCGGTAATATAGATTCTAGAAGTATTTAGAAGATAACACCAATGGCTATTTAAGTTGAGTAAAAGTCTTGTCCTTTGCAATGACAAGAAAGTTACTGACCTGTTTTTGTGATGGTACATCAACATGTGCAATAAAATGTGTCATGTCGGATTCCTCTGCAGTGCTCGGTTCTTCAACATCAGCATCCATATCTTCTTCCTGTAATCAAATACATATACTGATAACTATATGAGCAAACTTAAACTATCATCAGAAATATTCTTCAGAAGTAAATTACTATATCAGGGACAGTAACTCTTGTTTTACACAACTCACTTTTTACAAATGCTTTATGAGTTTAAGGTTTGAGTCGGTACATAATTATACAAATACCATTAAAGCACCATAACTCATGGTTGCAACAGTTACAAGGAATCTTCTATAAACTATCAGGTGGATAGAACACTCACCTTTTCTTATTCAAATATTTATCAATTTTATTCTTTCTAAGTTAACAAAGCAGAAAAGTTAAATGCATGAATAATGAGGTTTTGCACAAGAAGCCTTGACCCTTAGCCTTCTTGTAACGACTGCATCTACATCCGTTTTAGACCCCTGATCATAGTCTGCACTATTTGCAATTCAGTTAGTTAATATTTTGAGTTTTCCCTTAAAATTATGAATGGTTTTGACCAAATTGAAAGGAAAAGTGATATAGAAATATCATTTTTATATTTAACCGAAATGAATTTGACATGAATGGCCTTCCATAATTTTGCTCTGAATATCTACATTTTAAGATGGAATCAGTATGATGTTTTAATTTTATATATAATGATCTAATTAATGTTAAGTAAACAATGGTGGTAACTCAGAAGAGCTCGATCGAAAAGCAACTTTGCTTTAAAGTGGCTAAACTCAAGAAGGTGCAAAATCCAAATTATATTTCAGAAAAATTTATGTTTTTCATAAAAATTAACACAAATATCGAAGCATACTGCTTCTTTATTTAGCTGTGCCAAGTTAATATCATACTTCTCTCTCAAACAATCTTGGTACTTCTGAAGTTTCCTCAGAATCTTCAGTTTTTTCTCCTCTAGCAATCTGTTCTTGTTTCTCTTTCCATGCTCGTACCTTCTCTGCTATTGCTACAATGATAAATCGCTTGCTATTTTACTGCAATTTCAACACAGTTTTGGTAGTATCTCTGCAGTCTGTCAATCTTTAATGAATATCTAATCAGTAATTATCAATGCCTCTGCAAGTGACTGACTGCTAATCCCGCATGATGTCTGAATCAGAGGTGAGAGACAAATGACCATTAGACTTGATACCCTAGATCAATTGTCAAAAAGAAATTTCGCCTCATCCAAGGATTGAACCAATGACCCCTGGTTTACAACCCACCATAGTATTTAATAAATATCACATAATGTAAACAAATTTCATACATCTAGAAAACAAAAGCTGGAATTAAAGGAACTTCACTGAGGTTCACCAGCATAAAAATATAATACTTCAAAAATTCTTTCACAGATCTTCTGGGACATATGACAAGGAAAAAATTTATAGTATTAATTAAAGTATTATAGTCTGAATTGAATTGAAATTTGATTTCTTGTGCAATTCTTTGCCAGATTTCAGTTTATAGCATTTAAATGCCTTTAATTTTGCGTAATTTTGCACGCTTCAAATGACTGTTCTGGTAGAATAAAGTAGGCAAATGATCTGAAATTTGTAATTGACCTAAATCAAAAGGTATACAAATCTCGAAAAATTTATTACCAGTCATGTTAAAAACAAGAGGGCCATGATGGCCCTGAGGTCGCTCACCTGTATATAGTTACCCGGAGCAAGGCCAGTTTAAACTCAAGGGCTTTTATTTGAACAAACTTGGAAGACACCCATTAGAAGATTTTTCATGATGTTAAGTTTTTACTATACACATATAATGAAAAACAATGACCTCCCCCACCCCCCACCCCCGGCAGGGCTAATTTTAACCAAAGGGCTTTTATTTGAACAAACTTGGTAGACACCTATAAGAAGATGTTTCATGCTTAACATCTAAGCTCTAACTCATTGGGTTTTTCAAAAGAAGATTTTTTAAGTTTTTACTATACACATATAGTTAAAAACAATGACACCCCTGGGGCGGGGCCAGTTTTGACCCCAGGGCTTTTATTTGAACAAACTTTGTAGACACTTAGTAGAAGATGTTTCATGCTTAATATCTAAACAGTAGCTATTTGGGTTTTTTCAAAGAAGATTTTTAAGTTTTTGCTATACACATATAAGGAAAATCAATGACCCCCGGGGCGGGGCCAATTTTGACCCTAGGGCTTTTATTTGAACAAACTTTGTAGACACTCACTAGAAGATGTTTTATGCTTAATATCTAAACTCTAGCTATTTTGGTTTTTTCAAAGAAGATTTTTTAAGTTTTTGCTATACACATATAAGGAAAATCAATGACCCCCAGGTCGGGGCCAAGATTAACCCCAGGGCTTTTATTTGAACAAACTTGGTAGACACCCATTTGAACATGATTCATGCTAAATATCTAAGCTCTAGCTCTTTGAGTTCTTTAAAAGAAGATTTTTTTAAGTTTTTACTATATGCATATAGGGAAAATCAATGACCCCCTGGGGCCAATTTTGACCCCAGGGCTTTTATTTGAACAAACTTGGTAGACACTCACTAGAAGATGTTATATGCCAAATATCTAAGCTCTAGCTCTTTGGGTTTTTTAAAAGAAGATATTTAAAGTTTTTTCTTTCGGTTTTTTCTTTCGGTTGCCATGGCAACCAGAGTTCTGCATGGAATTAAATTCTTTGAACAATTTTTAAAGGTGACCACCAAAGGAACATTCCTGTGAAGTTTGGATGAAATTGGCTTGGTGGTTTATGAGGAGATGTCATTTAAAGTAAAAGTTTACGGAGGGATGGACGGACGACGGACGAAAAGCGATCACAAAAGCTCATCCTGTCACTTTGTGACAGGTGAGCTAAAAATCAGTCGAGTCCCTTTAATAAATTCTGTTATAATCTTCAAAATTAAAATTGTAAAGAAACTATGCTTTGAAATCAGCAAGTCAAAATATAAAATGCCACATTCATGCCTACCCAAAACAAACACAAACATATATACAATCCATTATAATATTTTCACCTCTTCCCTTTGAAGTACCTATGACATAACATTTAAAAATGATAATACATTGTACATGATTTAAATTAACTTTAAATTCTAAGCTAAATTCACAATCAAGCTAAATGAAGTAACATTTCAAACTAAAATCAATCTAAGTTTCTATATTGGTATATATGGTTATCTTAAACCTTTCTTTTCTGCTTCTTTTTCTAGAGGTATAATAACACCATCATCTTCATCTCTGTAACCATAATAATCAGCATCTATATCCTTCATCAACTCTCCTCGTGTCTTTCTAGGTGGTGGGGGAGCTGTAACACACACAAGCAAAATACTGTACAAACTCATTTATTAGATGCATTTTTGGCTATCCTGATTTTGGCATCAAAATAGGGACTGTGTCTTATAAGCATGACTTTATAAGGGATAACTAAAGAAATGCTAGATCGAAGTTATTTTGAAACCATACATGGACATTCCCCTTTTAGCAATCTATCAGACACCATTAACTTTTGTTTTCTGAACTGTATCTTCTAAGCTAAGAAACTCTAGAAATCTGTTGGTGATATGGAGACTTTCCAGCTTTACTGGGACAGAGACCAAAGATGCCCTTTGCTATATCATTTCAGGCACAAATAGACACCCGAGTAGAACTGCTGACATTTTATAAGCTAGCTGGATAGCTTCCTCACATGAAAGAATCCAAAACCGCTATCAGGATTCGAAGCCATAGTGGTGAGGGGCTAGTGGATAGAAGTCAACGCCCTTAACCAATTGGACACGTATGCTCATCACACTGGTGAGGGGCTATGATTCTGGTAATTCAGCAACTTAAACCTGTTGTCAAAAGTGCCCCCAATGATTATTATTTGGGCTTTTATCTATAAATTTTCATTTGGAGTTTCTTACTTTATAACACATTTTAAATATCTTAAATATCTTACGTTCTTGTTCAAACAATTCTCTAACACCAGGCAGATCTTTTGCTGCCCCAAAATATCTGAAAAAAAAAAGAAAGATAAAATATACAATGCCAAAGGGTATAAAGCTTTATTAGCCAGTCTGTCATTGGTCAAATATTGGTTTGATTCTTGACAAAGTTTACATTACCCTGTTTATTTTAAAAGGATAGTCCTTTTCGCCAGTTAATTTCAGTTTATGGGTGTTGCACATATGCAAAATTATCACTTCACTTACTTAAATTAGGAATAGCATATTGGGGGATGTGTTTTATCCTGTTTTCTAATATCTTTCAACTATATTAAATTACACATCAAATAAACACACTGATTCAATTAAGACATTCTATTCTTTATTCTAAACACATTTGTTATTTAGACTACCCTTAACTTTAATTATGAACTAGAAATACATATGTGATTCTAGATTTGAATTTAAAGACAATTTCAGACACCAAATATCAAATAACTTAAACTTTCAACAATTATAACAGAAAAAGTCTCACTTATAGCCTCTATTCCCTGGGACTTCTTTTCCTTCATGGTCTAACATTTTTGGTCCAATTTTCTGTGATAAAAAAAAGTTACATTTTTCAAAATATCATGGAAAGTGGCCTGTAGAATACAAAGAATAATAAAAAGAAATGAAAAATGTGTTAAGATTATCCATTTCTTCAGGCTTAAACTCACGAAAACTTGAAAGTAAAACTGAAAAGTACATCTTTTGGATATGATAATCGCTAGAAGGCAAACATACAAAGATACAATAATAGAAAACAATAAAAATTTATATATAAAGGAAGGTACATCATAACAGTAACTGTATGATGGTTCCAATGGTCAGCAATGAACCAAAAATTGATTTATAACATATAAATGCCACAAGCGTGATTTCTATCGAGCAAAATTGTTTCTGAAGGTCTTCTTTCCATAAAAACATATAACTTCATACCCTGTAGTCTGGTCCATCCAGTTCCTTTATTCTGTCCTCCCAATGTCCCTTCTCTCGTAATAGTTTGTTGATTTCATCATTTATGTCTCGTAATTTAAACTCTCCCAAACCAGCTGTAAACAAAAAGAATTCATGCACTTTGATTTAAAAAAAAAATTAAATTCTCTGCTAAACTTTGTCAGGATTTCAAAATTGGAACATTATACTGTTTCAGGACCTCTTTAGTTATTTACATCACGATTCAGAACTGTTCACAATATAGGTGAGAGACTGTGTAAACAGCCGTATAGCTCAGATGGTAGAGTTGTGAACCATTATTCTGAGGCCGAGACTGAGGGTCTCGGTTTAAAGTCCTGGTTAGGCTGCACTTTTGATACTTTGATTCCTGGTCTAATATATAAAAGTTAATAATGTTTGTCATAAGAGTAACATGTTTTGACCAACAAAAAATCAAGCAAACAAACATTTCTTTGTAATATTTCGAGGACATAAAAAAACATCAAAATGAAATCAATGAAAAAAAATAACATGCAATATTACGAATTTTTTTGTTAACCACAGGTTTGCTGTAGATCAGAAAAAGAGATAAAATTTGAGTGGTAAAACAACTTTCAGCGCTCATGTTGCAACTTTGTTATCTGCATAGGGCAAATCTGGGCAGACATTTTAAATGTATTTTGAAAAACAAAAAAGTGTTTGTGACTATGTAATATTTATGTTCTGTACACTTTTATTTTGATAATCTCAACTGATTAACTTACCATTCTGTATCTGTGCAACCTTCTTTGAGATTTCTCCAATAATTTGACGGCGGAATTTCTCCGCCTTCTTCACATCATCACATTCAGTTGCCAAATATGGACGCCGCTCCTGATAACGACAATAAATAAACACAACAACATTAAACAGAAAAGACAGAAACCTTTTAAAAGGTACAACTACACGCTATGATGAGAAATATAGAATATAATGTTTGTTATTATAAACTATCATATAAATATAATAAACAATAAATTTTTATATATATTTTTTTGCAATATAAACCCAAAAACATATTTTTGCCCCTTTTCATAATTAAGACAGAAAATGCAAAAGTAAAAACATGTATGTATAAGTAATCTGCAACCTAATGTAAAGTGATAACTTACCACTTCTTTCTTGTCATCCAAATGAGCAGCCCTCCATCGTGCCAAGGCAGTCCTATAAAATCATATCATGTCAATTATGCCTCTTAGGCAATTGTTTCAGATAAATTAACTTCAAACTGAAATTCATCTTAAATGCAAAGTGCTGGTGATTTTTGTGTTCTTTTGTTGTTGTTGTTGTAAGATATGAAATGTCTTCCTATTGAAAAAAGAAAGAACTTTCAAAGCAAAGGAAACAAGATTTTGGTGAGACTGGGCAGAGTGAACAAAATACCACTTCAGGGCTTTTTTTTTCACAGGTGTGGGAAGCAGCCCTGACCTTAATTTTGGGGGAAAATGACCAGGTATATTTGCAAAATGGGAAGAAAAAAATTGATGTAAATTCAATTTTTGGGGAAAACTGCATGATTTTAAAGAATTTTTCTTTAGGGATAATGGGGAAGCAGCCGTATTACAGCCCCTGCTATAGAAGGAAAAAAAGCCCTGTCACTTATCTTCATGTTCCCAAAAATTATTTTTTGATCTCTTTTTGTGAATAAATAAATCTAATAAAACACATTATTAATTATTATCATTATAAAAGTCTTATTAAATCATAATGCACTTGCATCAAAATTTTAAAATACGATAATCATTTTATGTAAAAGTATATATAGCTTATATCTAGCTTATTTTTAACATGTTTTAACGCAAAAATCTGGCATCATGATCATGGTTATTTTATGTCTTGTAAAGAAAACAATAAAAAAAAAATGTATTCTGATTGATAAGTGACGTATTATTTTGTTACACAAGTAAATTACTCTTCAATTCACTGCATAATATTTAAGCATGCAGTCTCTGTATTCTGTTCTATAGTTGAGAAATAAACTTTTGAAAACTCACATTGCCTTTTCACTATTTCTTGCCTGAAAAGAGAAGAAAAACTAGTTAATAGTCAGAAACCATAATTTTTAAAAATAAAAATTGTGACAATTTAATTCAACTCATATGAAGCTGCTTGCTAAATATCTGTAATAGTAAATAGCAAATTGTCCCATTTTGTTAACTCAACATTTGAGAATAAACTTTATTCAAGTTGAAAGCCTTTTGCATTTATACTCAACATCACTAATTCCGCGTCATCACTTACATGTATTTCACGGTAATAGCATATTTTCATATGACCAGTGTTAAAATTGGTCAAAATAGACATATTTTATTCAAACACCTTAACAACAAAGTTTTTGTGCAAAATAATTTAAATCTATAGATTTTTACGTAAAACTGAACAACATTTTACAAACTTCTGCAAAAAACAACAATAGTCCATTAAAATTGTGGATACGTCTGAAACAATCATCATTTTCTAAATGTTCTTGTTTGTTGAAAGAATAAATTTTGAGTTACAATGTAAAGATACTTTTAATTCTTAAAATTATGCAAAATAACATAAAGAAATTTTAACTGAAACATGAAAAAACTGAAATAAAACACCATTACCGCGAGTTAAATGATGACATACTGTTTTCAAAATGGCCGACACATGGTCTACATCTGACAAATTAAAACTTATTTTGATTGAATATATTGTTGTTTCCTTGTGTCATATAGCAGAAAAATGACTAAATGATACAGTTTATGACAGTTTTTGTAGTGTAAGTTTATTGTTTGTGTTCTTTACTGTTTTAAAGTGTTAAGTACCGTGAACTAAGAGGAGCACAGTATACTCAGTTTATGCTCATTCGATATTGATTTTGCTATTTTATTAAAATAAACCACATCATTATCAAACAACTGGCAGATAAACCAAAATAGTTTATCCAAAAAAAAGATTCAATTCACAAATTCGAAAAAAAATAACTAAACACTATTTAGTGATTTACCAATACTTTCTGTACATTCAAGATGTTAGCACTGGGGAATTCACCTACATGATGTGTAATATTATAGAGATAAGTTTGTTTTGGATTCAAATGAAATAAAAGAGATATTACAAGGGAAAAAAAAGATTTAAAATCAATGTACAAATAATTCCACGCAAATATATGTAAACTAGAACTATCGCTGAATGCGATTCATACCCCCACCTATGTCCTTGACAGAAGATGACTTGGAAATGTTTTTAAGGGAATAACTTAAGTGGCACAAATACATAAAAAGAAATTATCTCTGGTGAAAAAATACTAATTGTACAGGTAATAGTATAAATATATATTATCAAATCATGTTCGAAACATTTACAAATAACCTTTAATTTTCCCAATGTACTAAACATTTTATTTATAAGTCAATATTTGACCTTCAAGTGTGGCCTTGAATCTGGCACAAGGGTAAGATGGGTTTTGCACATCGCCCAGTTGGGTTTAGCATTTGAGTAAAGTTTGAAGAAAATCCTTCCATTAGTATAGAATTTATATAGCTGACACAACATATTGTCTAGAATTGATTTGTATGTAAATTTGAAGACTTAAAAAGGGGCATAACTTTGTCAAAATGCAATACAGAGTAATGAAACTTAACCTGCATGTCTTATTTGCTACACCTCATATATCTTTTAAGTTTCAAGCAAATACCTGTACTAGTTTCAGAAATATTCAAGTACATGTTTAAATTTAAGAACATTTTCTAAGTCAATTTTTGACCTTCAAGTGTGACCTTGACCTTTAGCCGGAACAAAGGTGACATGAATTTTGCACATAACCTTGTTGAGGTGAACATTTGAGTAAAATTTGAAGAAAATTCTTCCATTAGTATAGGATTTATAGAGCGGACACGACATAGTTTCTAATACTTGATTGTATGCAAATTTGAAGACTTAAAAAGGGGCATAACTTTGTTAAAATGCAATACAGAGTTATGAAACTTGACCAGCATATCTTAATTGTGACACTTCATATATATTACAAGTTTAAAGTAAATACCTTTTTTAGATTCAGAAATATTCAAATAAATGTTAAAATTTAAGAATATTTTCTAAGTCAATTTTTTACCTTCAAGTGTGACCTTGACCTTAAGCCGGCATCAGGGTGCCATGGGTTCTGCACATCCCCATGTTGTGGTGAACATTTGAGCCGAGATTGACCTTGAAATTTTTGACCTTCAAGTGTGACCTTGACCTTTAGCCGGCACAAAGGTGACATGAATTCTGCACATCCCCTTGTTGAGGTGAACATTTGAGCCAAGTTTGAAGAAAATCCTTCAATTAGTGTAGGACTTACAGAGCGGACACAACATATTGTGTAATATTTGATTGTTTGATATTTGACCTTCAATTGTGACCTTGAACTTGAGCTGACACATGGGCAACATGAGTTCTGCACATCCCCTTGTTGAGGTGAACATTTGAGCCAAGTTAGAAGAAAATCTTTCAATTAGTGTAGGACTTACAGAGCGGACACGACATACTGTGTAATATTTGATTGTTTGATATTTGACCTTCAATTGTGACCTTGACCTTAAGCTGACACATGGGCAACATGGGTTCTGCACATCCCCTTGTTGAGGTGAACATTTGAGCCAAGTTTGAAGAAAATCTTTCAATTAGTGTAGGACTTACAGAGCGGACACGACATACTGTCTAATATTTGATTGTGTTTGATATTTGACCTTCAATTGTGACCTTGACCTTGAGCTGACACATGGGCAACATGGGTTCTGCACATCGTCTTGTTGAGGTGAACATTTGAGCCAAGTTTGAAGAAAATCCTTCAATTGGTATAGGAGTTATAGAGATACAAAAATGGAGACGAACCGACGGACGGACAGACCGACCGACGCGACAAAGCAAATCCATTATAGCCCCCCCCACATTTTGTGGTGGGGGTATAATAACAAGGTTAGGAAGAAAATATCTCTATTTATTAATGCAGGTGCCACTATGTCTGTTTTAAATTTATAGATTTTCATAATAAAAAATTTAATTTTTGTAAAATTTGAGAAAGACAGCAAAGGAAGATTGATTATTTTCTAACACATCAAGTTTTACCACCCTACATGGTAAAATAAAATTATAATAATAAAATAATCGAAAAATATCACATAATTTAATGCTGGTATCACATTAGGTGTAATTTCCTAAAAACTAAATCCATAACATAATAGAAAATGGTGTTTAGATAGGTTTTCAAAAAGGGCAATACATGTTTCGCTTTATTAAGCTTCAACAGTAGATATCATAAATAAAGATAATGTCCAAAAATAAGATATCCGAAATGTATACTCTTTTAGAAAACTTTCAATCCGACTCATTCTATCGTGATATAAAAAAATTGTTATATTTAACAAAAAAATAAGATATATAAGGAAATAACTTACCATGTCTGAAAAGTATAAACTTTGTTTTTCTCACAAAGAAATTAAAAAATAAATTCTACGTTTCTCTTTATCGTCACAGTCACGCCGACGCTTGTTCTTTCAATTCACTAAGAGCGTTTGTTGACATAGAAAATCAGTAAAAAAAACGTGTTTTACAATTATATGAAAAATAATAACACAAGGGATAAATTTATTCATTTTGTCTTCTTCTAGTTTACCGTTGATCAATTATCAACGTTTGATCAAAATGGTAGGAACATTTTCAACAGTATTATCACAGAATTAATAAAAATAATATGATTTCGCGATATGATTTTCTAATGTGGGCTTCTAACAGGGGTAGCTATTAGCGCAGCTTCAGAGATAATATATTATGGCATAATGTATATAACATTTCAATCCATTCTGCATTCAAAAACATTCATGTGTTCTGTCTAGGACACTGAGGAGTGTGTTTTTATCTTCTATATATTTCTTTAACATGTTTAATGAACAGTTACACTGTGCATTGGATTAGCCTAATTATTAAGCGTGAAAGGTTTAACTAACTGTTTTTTTGTGCCCCCACTTTAGTGGCTGGCATTTAGATTTACCCTTGTCTATCCGTCCTTCCTTCCGTTCGTTCTCTTTTGTGTCGCACGTAACTCAAAAAGTATGGCTTAAAAAGGGCTTGGCCCTTCCATCAGAGCCCAGAATCATCCTACAGGTATCCTACAGGTATTAGACCTAGAGTCATGAGACTTTAAAGGAATGTTGATCAGCATGTGCAGTTGTGCACCTAGGTATTTTCGTGTGGATTTATTTAGTAATTTTAGAGAAATTGCCCTTGACTTAGTAAAAATTTGCAATTTTCAACTTGTGTGGCATGTAACTCAAAAAGGATTTGACCTAGAGTCATGAAACTTTACAGGAATGTTGATCAGCATGTGCAGTTATGCACCTGGGTATTTTCGTATGGATTTATTTAGTATTTTTAGAGTTATTGCCCTTGACTTAGTAAAAATTTGCAATTTTCAACTTGTGTGGCACGTAACTCAAAAAGGATTTGACCTAGAAACATGAAACTTTACAGGAATGTTGATCAGCATGTGCAGTTGTGCACCTGGGTATTTTCATGTGGATTTATTTAGTATTTTTAGAGTTATTGCCCTTGACTTAGTAAAAATTTGCAATTTTCAACTTGTGTCGCATGTAACTCAAAAAGGATTTGACCTAGAGTCATGAAACTTTACAGGAATGTTGATCAGCATGTGTAGTTGTGCACCTGGGTATTTTTGTGTGGATCTATATAGTATTTTTAGAGTTATTGCCCTTGACTTATAAAATTTTTGCAATTTTTAACTTGTGTCGCATGTAACTCAAAAAGAATTTGACATAGAGACTAAGAGTCATGAAACTTTACAGGAATGTTGATCAGCATTTGTAGTTGTGCACCTTGGTATTTTCATCAGGATTTATTTAGTATTTTTAGAGTTATTGCCCTTGACTTAGAAAATTTTTGCAATTTTCAACTTGTGTCGCATGTAACTCAAAAAGGATTTGACCTAGAGTCATTAAACCTTCTGAGAAGGTTGCACAGCATATGTAGTTGTGCACCTGGGGTTTTGCTTCTGGATTTATCCAGTATTTGTTGAGTTATTTCCCTTGACTTAGTAAAAACCGTTTCATTATGTTGTTATTTGTTCCTTGAGAGCTTCAGTTAGAATCAACCAACTTTACAGGAATAATGATCAACATCACTAAATTACAGGAATAATGATCAACATCACTGTGAAGCTATGCACCTGGGACTTTGCATGTGGATTTCATTCAATTTTGTTAGAGTTATTGCCCTTTACTTACAGTAGTACAGTGTTTCTTCCAGCTCCAATTTTTGGGGGTCATTTTTGACCCCCTGTATCAGATTTTAGGGGTCCCTTGAAATTTTTGAGGGTCATGCCAAACCATATATTTATTAACCAAGAAGTACATAAAAGAACTGGAACCACTAATTTATTAGCCTATTTCATATAAATCATTCAGCCATTGAAAAATAATAGATGAATAGAAAAGAAAATGTTGCATAAAATAATTTGAAGAATCTCTATAAACAGAAGAAAAATAATTCTTTAATGAATTTCATTACCCCCAGCTAGCTACTGTAATTCATGCAGCGTAATATGTACTGACAACTTTAAATCTTAATCATCCTTTCCATATTTGGTCATATAGCTATGTCACTAGCAGTACTGTATACAGGTAACAATTGAGAGAGAGATGTGTAGTACATACGAGTTTGTTTTGAAAATTAGATAATTAATTGATAGAAAAGTGGACAATAATTGGATAAAATTATATTGTCCTCTTGGATGCATGAAAAGGAATTTTTGTCTGATTAATGGACAATTAAATTGGAAGGTATTAAGTCGTAAAATCAAAGCAGTGCATGATTTGTATTTTAATTTGTTAAATAGTTTGCAATGGATTTGAAATTGTCATAATTTGAGATTTACTGTAAATTAATGGAGAATAAATAACTGCGTCACTGGAAACACACAAATTGAGTCTCATTGCGTCAAGGCAGTAAAAAAATGAGTCAAAAACGCACTCTGGAAGAAACACTGGTAGTATAAATTTGCAATTTTCAACATGTTCATGCATAGCTCCAAAAGTATTTGACTTGTAGGCCTGAAAGTTTACAAGAATGTTGGTCAGCATGTGTACTTATGCACCTTGGGCTTTGCTTGTGAATTTATTCAGTATTTGTAAAGTTCTTGCCCTTTACTTAGTAAAAGATTTTTATTTTATAACTTGCCCAGAGTCATAAGATTGACAACAGTGGCGTTTGGAGGCACCCATGTCCTATGGACACATTTCTAGTTTTATACTACTGTCAAACTGTTGCACCATATTTTAATGTAATCATTTTTCATCGTAAAAGTCAATTGATAACTTTTAGTAAAATGAATATAGTCGATCGGGTCTTATCATACTATTAATGATGTTAAAAGAAGAGGGAAGGCATTTATTAGTCCCCTACCGGTTTACCGGAGGGGACTTTAGGTTTACCCTCCGTCCGTCTGTCCGTCCGTCATTCCGTCCGCTCTTAGGGGAGAGACATTGTGGGGTATTTCTTAAGTCTATATGGTATTTATGGGGTTAAAATCACATGTGGGGTCGACCCCACATGCTGATTGAGATTGATCGTTATTTTTGTCGTTCTGGGGTCTAGAAAAAAGACCCCACAAATTAAAACCTATTGTTGGTTGGACTCGGAGTACGGACAACACCGTAAATTCCACAAAAATTCCAAGGGAGACTAATCTTAGATGTTTTCTTATCACGTGATGCAAAACTAATCGAGTGCTTCGGCTTTTTCCATAGGGAGGTCATTTTGAGCATGCGCACTTCGCCGGCGTATGCACATGTGTAATAATGGCTGCCTTGTCAAGGTAAGAGTTTGCTTGTGCTGTTTTATTTTTATGTACTATTAAGGTTTGTGGTGTCTTTTAGGAAATATTTATGTTACATCCGGGTCACAAATATCCGGGTCAAACCGTGAATTACTTCCGTCTCGCCATTTTTCAACGCGTCTTTATGTAATTCAGAGTGGGTGGAGTAGTGTTGAACAGTTAAAATTTGAATACTACTAACGACTATACGCTAATAAAAATGGAAAGTTTAAGCATTGATTTTTTGAATTCAATACTTCTGTTTATAATCGCATGTATTTTACTAACAATTTTAATTGTATTCCATTCGTTGGAACGAAGTTTAAATTACCATGGCTCCAATTAGGTCTATAGAAGTGCTGATTGTGTCCAAACCAGTTGTTTGGAACTTAAAATTGATGATGTCCTACATGCTTTTAAATGGATTAGGCTGTAGATTTATATCTCGGTTCATTAAAAATGAAATACTCCAAGAAATGTATGGGTTTGAAATATATGAGCAATCAGAAGTTCAGGAAATAATGGCATTCTGTGAGTTTTATAACATTAATGTCAATATAAGTGCAACAGTTTGCAGAACTTGCCTTAAGACAGCCAACTACAGGTATATATTTGAATGTGTGATATTTTTCTTTTGCTATTTATATTTTTCTACTTACAAAAAAAGTTAAAATGTTATTTAAATATATGGTATGCCTTTTATAATGCATATTTTTTTGCCTGTTATTGACAGTGTGAAATCCCTGGCATTGTAAAAGGAAAAGAGTCAACTCGGCCCTATACCAACTCGGCACGGGTCAACTCGGCACGGGTCAACTCGGCCCACTTTACAAAAATATATAGAGCTATAACGTATTTACTTTGCTTTGCATGTTGTTAAGGTAAATGAATAATAAGAAATATCTTATTATATTATATAATGATGAGCATTGTACCTCTGCTGAAATAAAATATGTTTAGAAAAAAAAGTTATTTATTTGTCTTGCAGATTCGATAAAATTAATATAGACACAGGCACGATTATCGAACCTGGGAAGAAAAAAATATGAACAGATTGATAAAATATCTTCATATATTTTCTTCCCAGGTCCGAAACTTGTGCCTGTGAATATAAGATATAATAAAAATGTGTTTCCTTAGATGCATTTTGTTTGTAAAGTAATTTTCAAAAAAATATGAAACAAAAAGTGTTTACTTAATAGCATAAGCTTCTAATTAATTGCAGGTGGTCACTAATCAAATTTGAATGAATGAGTCAATCATAATTATCACCTAATTAATCGGTATCTTTAACATACACATTGATCAATAAAAATAGCCCGTGACAATAGGAGTCCTTTGATGTCCTTTACCCATTTTCAAAAGTGGGCCGAGTTGACCCGTGCCGAGTTGGAACAGGGCCGAGCTGACTCGGGGGCCGAGTATGTTTTAGGGCCGAGCTGACCCGGATTCTTGTAAAATATGTTGAAAGTCTCTCATTCTACAGGATGTACTATGTGCAGGAAACAATTATTATTTTCTACTCTTTACTTCATTAAATACTACTTTAAATTACGAAGGGACTGTAGGAGTATTTGATCTGATTTTACACACTAATTATATTCCCAACCAATTTTTCCTCCATTTTTTTCTTTAAGTTTTTGGGTTAAATGTCTATAATGTATGGGGTTAACATTGTTGTCAATGATAATTTCAAATTTGGGGTTTTTATCATAAACTTTTTTTGTCTATCAAGTTGGGGGGGCAAATTTTTCCCCACATTTAACTTTACAAATTTTTCCATATAAGGTGTTTTTCATCAGTACCTTTAATTTTTTAT